TGGTCCCTGTGCTTTGCTAAGCTTGTTCTAAGTAGGTGCTTTAGACCACTGAGCCATCTCACCAGCCCCAATGTGTATTATCTTTTTTTTTTTTTTGGCAGAACCGGGGATTAAACTCTGGCCCTTGCACTTGCCAGGGAAGCGCTTATTCCACTAAGCCATCTCCCGGGCCCCAGAAATGCCAAATAGTTAACAAGTGGCTCGATACTGCCAAGAGAGGGCTGTGTCACAGAAGCATACCTCAGGTGGGAATTGGGGTACACAGCGGGGTCACCTGTGCCCCACAGCGTATTGTGCTCTGCATTATAGTGCACTGGTTTTCCTGTAAACATGACCAATTCGAACTGTCACCCATCCACACTGCCATAAACAGCAGCATGAACTGCATCCTGTCTTTAAGATTTCCTAGGTGGTCAGCTATTAAAAATCATCTCTATTGTTTAGTTAGTGTAATAGTACACAAATGCTCTTACCCAATGGCGCTAGCAAGATCTTCCCAATCTATTTCGTTAGCATCTTCCACATTTATTGCATATAACCTATGAGAAAAAAAAGGAATAATTTCAAGCAAAAAGCAACCTGCTGGGTCTCTTCTTGGACTCCCCGAGTATTAAGAGCTGGGAGGGACTGGCACCCTCACCACGCATGTGCAGTGTGCCCAGAGCCAGCCCAAGGTCACTGCAGGCAGTGGGTATGGAGATGGGTGACAGGAAAGCCACTTCTGCACCTTACACAGACACAGAGCAAGAGGGCAGCCAGACTCAGCACCGCCTACTTACTGTATAGATGCTGTTAAGAACTACAGTAGGGCTGGGGAGTTGGCTCAGTGGAATAAGTGCTTCTCTGGCAAGCGCAAGGGCATGAGTTCAATGCCCAGTTCCACAAAAAAAAAAAAGAACTACAGTAACCCTCAATGCCTGCCACTGGACAAGGTCAAGGGTTAGTCCCGTTCTATAGAAAGAAACAGACTACCTGCTCACTGGTTCAAGATCTCCAGACACTTGGCTCCAGGACAAGCCCTCCCCGGATCTGCCAGTCTATTTGGCCTCTCCGGCAGGGTGGACTGTGTACAGGTAAAACTGGTCAGACTGAGAGAATGGGGCAGGCACACGGCCAACCAGAAGCAGGGCCAAACACAGGCTGGCTGGTATCGGAAGTGTCTCTGACCTCTGCTGTTACTCAGGCAGCATGAGTCGGGCCGCATTTCCCTCTCCCGCGGAATGAACACTGCACAGAGGAGCTCGAGGGCAGAATCAAAGCCCTCGTGATGACACTGTTGACTCGTGCTGCTGAGCCAGGGCTCTGTCCCCATGATCAGCCTGCATTTTCCAATGGACAGAAGTAACGTGTCCACAGGAAAAGCTCCACAGGGTGCAGCAACTGCACCTGCTGCGTAGACAGCAAGGCTCCGTGCGCACTGATTCATTTCTCCTCCCAATGACACCAGGAGGTAGCTAACTGCTTGTCACCATTATCCTCACAAAAGATAAACATGTGGGTGCTTGGAAAGGGAGGCCACATGTCAACAGCATTATCAGCAGAGGGTCCTGGCTCCAACCCTGGGGGACGTCACCGCAGCCTCTGCTGTGCTAGCAACTCCTCTTTGGCACTGCTTTCCATTTCCATACCTCTCAATCAGGTTGATTTTGGCCTGCAGAGCGCTGACGCCGCGGTACACACAGCCACCGCTAGTCATTCTCTTGGTTAGGATTTCTGTCCTAGGACACAGGAAGGACAAACACACTTTACCTTTGGGGTAGTGTTTGTTAGACCTCCTGAATTTTTCTCACCTAAACTGCCCTCATTCAGACACAACGTCTCACCTTTCCAACTCATTTACCAGCATCAAGAACCTAGTACTTGAGGGAAAAAAGGAGGAAGGAATAAATGAAATGACGGAAAGCTAATGGACATTATCAGTCCGTGCCAGGGCGGTGGTGGCGCAAGCCTGCCATCGCAGCACTCAGGAGGCTGAAGCAAGAGCACCACTGTGGGGTCGAGGCCAGCCTGGACTGCAGAGTGAGACCCCGTCTCAAAAAAAAGATATGAGTTCTATATGTCTGTTATTTATAAAGACAAATGGATGGCCATGGCTCTTTTTACCATTACAAGCTTTTGGAATACCACGGAGAACAAGTTTAGTAACATGGCAAAGTATCCGATGACTCCTCTGACACCTAAAACTTTTTTTTTTTTTTTTTGGGCGGAACCAGGGATTGAACTCAGGCCCTTGCGCTTTCCAGGGAAGCGCTTATTCCCCTGAGCCATCTCCCTGGCCCCAACATTTAAAACTAATGCCTAAGGTGAAGATCTGCTTGCAGGTCCCAGTAAGCACCGGCCCTGTTAGAACAAAGCAAGCCTGTTTTCCAGAGCTGGATGCCCGCCTGCCAAGGCTCCCCCACAGCCCTTGCAGCCCAACATGCAGAGCTAGCAAAGGCCCCGATTATCCCACAGTGTGCCGCCCACAAGTGTAACCTGTCTTGGAGTTTCTCTCCCTGGGCCGCCCCCAAGTGTTATCTGTCTTGGAGTTTCTCTCCCTGGGCACAGTCACTAACACACTGGGCTGGGGATGTAGCTCAGTGGAAGGGCCCTTGCCTAACAAGCGTGAAGGCTTTGAGTGTAGTCCCTGCAAAGACAAAACAAAACGTAAAAACAATGAAAATATAATAAAGCCCAAGTACTTTAAATAAAACTGAGAAATATGTAACTGATATAATCTAGAAGTCTAATTTTTTTTTTTTTTTTAATGTATTTAGTACAGGGTCTCGCTGTATAGCTCAGACTCGTAGTGATATCAGCAGTCTAATTCTTTTTTTTTTTTTTTTTGCAGTACGGAAGATTGAGCTCAGGACCCTGTGCTTGCCAGGCAATAATTCTTAACATAAAATAAGCCTCTCCTCTCGGTCTCTTAGTTGCTAATCACGGGTCACTAAGCCCCTTCATGTGTGGGACATGGGCTGAGCGTGTGCAAAGCCACAGAGCCGGGCTGTGGGGGGACACCCAGGCAGCGCCCCTCCAGGCTCGGGGGGCTCCATCAGGCCAGGCTGCGCTGCAGCCAGCCCCAGACCGGAACTGCTTCTGTGCGGGGGCTGCAGCTTCGTGAGGCCCGCGTGCTCCTCTTCACTCCAGCACCGGCTCGCTGCAGATGCACAGAAAGCTGCCATGTGGAACGGACAACAACAAAGGCAGAGCTACGCCAACCACTAAGCTCAAGGCTTCTC